GACGTATTAAACAAAGCCCGATTTGATTTTATGCACTATGAAAGGAAACAAAATACTCGTGGTTTGTAATCCTTGTAATGGTGAAAAAGTAGTCGCGATTTTTGAGATATTCTTGTGATTACAACTTTTGGGTCTGATGATCCACTTCGCTTCACTATTACTAGGATTCCAAACCACGAGCATTTTGTTTTCCGTGAATAAAATCAAAAAGCCATCGCAGTAAAAATAAAAAATGTCACATATATTGACTCGTTCTAATTTGTTTAGACTGCTAAGATTACCTCTAAACTCCACCGGATCCTTGGACAATCTTGTACCCTTATTTATAATCTTGCTAGAGATTTAGTCAAAACCCTAGATATTAAAAGAGAAGCAAGATAAATTTGGGCTTTAATCGTAATCTATAATCCTATAGGCCCAATAAAGGCCCAAAATTTAGATTACTCGGGTCATAAATTTTCCAGGCGGGTCAGTACTCAATACCTCCTCTTCCTTCGTCGATCCGAAATAATTTTGTCGTTGATCGGCGATTGCAGAGGACGAAGCATGATCAATGGTTTCTCGGAGAGATTATCGGAGTATGAGATCGTGTAGTGGATGGCGTCGGTTTCTCTTGCTGATTCCTCTGGTCTTTGTTCTTCCTCATCTCTCGTCACTTGTTGATTTTTCTTCGACTTCGACTAGGAACGAATCGCAAAGCATTCGTAGCAAGAAGCTCGATCACCTTGTGCTAGGTCCTGTTGCTGGACAAGGCTTGTCCGATCGATTGCATTGCCGAGGTTAGATTTTGCGTATAGTTGTTGTGCTAGATGTTCTTAAGTAGGCATAGATCTGAATTACCATATTCGATTTGTGTTCCAGTAAGTGATCTGAGCAAACTTGTGCTGCAATTAGTTTAACTCGAGGTCTAGAACAGTTTTACTTGTCTCTGTGAATCTCAGGGCTTTGTCTTATTCTCATTTGAATGAGTATACATCATACACTTAGCCATTGTTTGTCTTGCTGCTTCACAAATATTACACCATTGTTTCTTGCTAGGACCTTCAATTTTGATGCAAATGGTATGGTTCTGTATTTGTTTAGGCACCAAGGCTCTCAATAGGACTCACACTTCAACTTCGCATGTGTCTGGTGCTGGAAATGGTGTTTCTTTCGTCACGGTGTTTACTGTTTATAATAATACATCGGTCGATAATGTGAAATCGGCCAATATGGTTTCTGTTGTTGGGAATGTGACCTATAGCAAGCCAGAGAGGTCAATGGCAGTTCTAAATGCATTCGCCAACTTCATTCAGGTAACTTGCTGAGTTTCTTATAAAGATATCTGTTGTCTGCTCTATTTATCTTGTAGACTGATAAATCTGTTTTTTAGGTGACTATGCCCAAGAGCAATGTTGTCATATTAACTGATCCAGCTTCCGATTTCTCGATCGGAAAAAGCAACGTGATGGTACAGCCTGTTCGAGGTGATTACTCACGGAGTAACCTGATGCTTCAAAGAATCAGGTCTTATATTGTAAGAGCAAAATCGCACTGATACCTAGGTAGAATACATCTGTTAGTATTGGTTTATCTTTCTATATATTTGACATCCATTTCTCTCATATTCCAACTGGTTTTGATTTTATTTAATCATGGAAAGGTTTAGTGAAAGTATCTGTAGAGAGTATACGAGTGACTGAGTCATGATTCTTGTTGACCTTTGGCTTGCAGACGTTTCTTGAGATGAAGCTCGAGAAGAATGATGATGGAAGAAACCACTATATCTTCACCGATTCTGATATGGCAGTTGTTGATGACATCGGGACTATATTTGACAAGCATCCAAACTTCCATATTGCACTCACATTCAGGAACAATAAAGATCAACCGCTGAATTCAGGATTTATCGCAGTGAGAGGCACACGTGAAGGTCTCATAAGGTTTGCATTTATCCCTTTTCTTTCCTCGTTTAGTCGAAGCACTTGTCTCTTTGGAATCAGTATGTCAATAATGACTTTGTCTTACATTGGATCCGAATGCAGGGCTAAGGTTTTTCTTGATCAAGTCTTAAAAGCTTACAAAACCAAATATATGAAAGCTTCGCGTATGCTTGGTGATCAACTAGCTTTGGTATGGGTTGTTAAATCTCATCCTTCCTTCGACGCAAAAAGATTCACAAAACCGCAAGCATTCACACAAGAAATAGCTGGAGCTTCAGTGTTATTTTTACCATGCGCTTTATATAACTGGACACCTCCTGAAGGTGCTGGTCAGTTTCATGGCATGCCTTTAGATGTCAAGGTACTCTCAAAAACCCTTAAAAACAATCGTTATCGATTTTTCATTCATTCATCGTGTTCTCATTAACTCCGTGAAAACCGCGCAGATTGTTCATTTCAAAGGATCAAGAAAACGCTTAATGCTCGAGGCATGGAACTTCTACAAATCTACTTCCAACATTCCAGATATGTTATGTCTTGTTCTTGGTAGTGGTAGAACTAAATACGATTTCTAAACTTTCATGTTTTATTTGACCTTAGGAGATGAATCAATACCACACTACAAACAGTTACTTCCTCAAAAAGTAAAAAAAAAAAAGAACAAATAAATTAAATAATCCATACAAAACAAGAAATCAAACCTCACAAACCAAAAAAAATCCATCTAAACGGCGGATTTTTTATAATAACTCAAATACCATCTCACGAATTTCTTTAAACCGGTTTGTAAATCCGTCGTCGGTTTATACCCAAGCTCATTTCTCGCTAAACTAATATTAGCATGAGTATACGGAACGTCACCGTTTCGTGGCATCTTAATCATCTTCTTCTTCGCTTTCACTTTCAATTGCTTCTCCAAAATCCTCACCAGATCTGAAACCGGTACCGGAGAAGTGTTCCCGAGGTTAAACACACGTAACTGCGCCGGACCTTTTTTCTTCCCACCGCTTCCTGTACTCTTCTCCGCCGTATCAAGCGCCGCTAAACATCCTTTCACAATATCGTCAATGTAAGTGAAATCCCTAGCCACCGTACCGTGATTCGCCGATTCGAAAATCGAAATCGATTTCCCTTTCAAAATATCTTTCGTAAAGAAGAAATACGCCATGTCTGGTCTTCCCCAAGGTCCATACACAGTGAAAAACCTTAATCCGGTGAGTGATAATCCGTATATGTGATTATACGTATGCGCGATTTCTTCGCCGGCTTTTTTCGTCGCTGCGTATAAACTCGCCGGTTGATCTGTTTTATCTTTCTCTGAGAATGGTACTTTTGTGTTTAATCCATAAACAGAGCTTGAAGAAGCCCAAACAATCGATGGTTGTGGATTCACAGATTTGCAGATCTCGAGTAAGTTAACGAATCCAGCGATGTTGCTATGAATATAGGAATTAGGGTTTTCCATTGCGTAACGAACACCAGCTTGAGCTGCTAGATGCATGACGTGCGTGAAGGAGACGATGTTGAATAGCTTACGAAGTAATTCGACGTCGTTTATGTCTCCTTCTACAATGTAGACTCCATTTTTCTCTAGTAATGCTTGTCTTGCTCGTTTTAAGGAAGGATCGTAGTAATCGTTGAAGTTATCGAGTCCGATTACTCCGTCTCCGCGGCGTTTCAATGCCGCGGAGACGTGTGTACCGACGAAACCAGCAGCTCCTGTGACTAGGACTGTGATTCCGTTGCTTGAGGAGGTTCGGACTCGAGCGGAGTTTCGGACTTTTTTCTCGAAAGCTGGTCCTCCGTAGGTGTATGTTCGGAGTGAACGGCGAGATGGATCGGATTGTGATTGGTAAATCGACGGTGGTGATCGGAGGAAGAGGATGGAGATTAAACAGAGCAGGAAGAAGGAGAAAAATGCAAATTTTGTTAGTGATGATTGGAATCTGAGACGGTTTAGGTATGAAGATTTCTCCATCTTGAATTTTCCTGGGCTTGAAGGTATGTCGTCAAGACGCGACATATTTTCTCGAGAAAGTGAAAGGAAAATGGTTAGCTTTCTTCTAGTGTTTAAGTTTTGATGGTAGCTTTCATAGAAGAATCTTCAGGTTTCTTGGAGGAGGAAGGTTTCTTTAATATGACTCCAAAATAAGAAACACGAATATTAACTTTTGGTAATAATATATTCGAGGATCAAAGTTTGGTTTAAAGAGAGTGTAGAGTTTTT